GACCAGCCACCCTTGCTGGCTACCTGCCCTTCCCTGCCCCACGACCCTGCTCCTGATTCCTCCTGGGAGCACTTCCTTAATAATCACTTGCATGTGAAGCCTCCTCTGGAGTCTGCGCCTGGGAAAACCCCACCCAGACACATCCCCTCCCCTCCCCACCCCTGTCCCCTCCAGTTACCCCTCCCAGGCCCTCGGAGTCCAAAGCTCACTTAGACTTCGATTCTCCCTCTTCATCCATGCTGTCTCTTTCTAGCTAACCATTAAATCCAATATCTCCTCCTATGGGACACATACCCTCACCTTCTCACTACAACCGACTTTAGCTACCCATCACCTCCCACCATGACAGGTGCCATGTTTTCTCAGCTTCCGTTTTCTTCCCCTCTTAGGCTTTTGGAAACTCAGCACTTCCAGTGGTTGTTCCTCTAAAACAAAACAAAAATATTGCAGTGGTTCCCCACTGACTTCAGGATAAAGTTCAAACTCCTTAGCCTGGCCATCAGAGGCCTCGTGACCCAGGCCCTCACCCTTCTCATGCCTTTTCTCCCCGTTTCCCTCTGGGCCTCATGCTCCAGTCACCCCACATCATCCGTGGTCTGCTTTTCCAGGCTCCAGGCTCCCCTGGGCCAGTCCCCCTGCCTGGGAGGCCCTTCCCACCCCTGGTGCCCCTGTTCAAATCTACCCATCAGTCCAGACCCAGAGCACATGGGAGTCACGGAGCCTCCTTTTCTGAAGCCCCCCATTAACACATTCCAGGTGAGAGACAAAAACCAAGACCCATAGATGAAGATGGGCATTCACATAATTTGCATATAGACTTTACATCTTCCTAGCAGATAAGCTTCCTGAGAGCTGGGAGCTCTTCAGAGTGATCTTTGCTCATTTATCTTAGAAAAATCTAACTGAAAGGGCAGAAACGTTTACCACTTAAAACGGTGCTAGTTATTCTAGTCTCAGGCAGATGTGTTCCAGAATGGTTGTGAGACAGCAGCGGGTGGGGCGGGGGGAGGGGGGAGGTCCTCTTCTCTCTATCTTAGTTCCCACAGACGTCTCTCTGGGTGCAAGCATCTCACCACCCTAGGTGTGATTCTAATGAACACTCACTCTAAACCCAAACCGACTTATTCCCTACGGGGCTCACTGTTGGAAACACCAATCTGATGTAGTCCTGAAGGAAAGCCTGCATCATCGGGTAGAGAGATGCTACAGGATTACATTTCATGGGCAATTAAAGAGATTTTCAAGGGCAGCTTTAATTATATGCGTTTTTCACCCTCCACCAGGGTTTCGAAGGAATCCCACCCCCTGCATTAGCTGCAGCTCCTCTGTGTGCCCCACTCCCTGACCCTAAGCCAAAAGGCACCTGATGAATGTCGACAGAGGGCACAAATGTCCTGGTTCCCTGTTCCATATAAGGCATAATTCCAGGGGACCTGGACCCAAATGGCTTCAACCCATTAGTGATGAAAAAACACATCAGTGACACCCTGAACTAGCTCTGTGTGTGAACAACGACAGTTTGTAACAGCTGAAAAATAGAGCAGCACAATGCATTTCTGTACTTATGTCTACAACCATAAAGCGACCTAGAATTAAACCCACACTCGTGAAACATCAGAGTGACATTTTAATAACTGACTTCTCTTAGCCATCAAGTTTTAAGATCTTTGGCAACTCGTTCTAAGGAAAACTGCCCGAAGAAAATGAGGCACAACTTAAATGTACTTAGAAATCAGAGTGAATGCAACTACATTGTCTGTTGCAAATCACTCTGTGTTCCTAAGAAAGACCTGAGAGAAGGAAATACAATCGCCCTTTTACTTACCAAGTATCTCATACTCGGCTATTCATTCTTGAGTCAGTTTTCAAAGCCACTGACTGACTCAATTGAACACACTTAGGATCAAGAAAAACTGACTCAGATGTGTGGTTTGGCCTGCCATCTTAAAATGGAATGGCAGTTATCAAAATTTTCAGAAGAAAGGATCGGGCAATTTTTCATGGATTGAAGTGAAATTTATCAAACTGGCAGAGGCCTCAGAGGAACATTACTGCACTGTGCTTTGGGAATAACTGATGATACAGTTAGACTGTCCATGATGCTCTCAAATTGCTCAAAATTCACTAGAAAACATTTCGTTGTGAGACTTGAATAAACTCTTCTCACTTCAGACATATTACTCCTACGCCTAGCCGAAAGAAATGTTTCCTCCCGAAACATTTCCCTAGTTTTTCTTTCCAGCAGGAGGTGACTTCTCCTTTTTCCAAACTCCCATGGCGTGAGGGATGTCTTATTTTCTCAGGTAAACTGCAGGTACCTGGAAGGCAGGTTCCACGGGCAGTTGAATCTTGCACCTGCACCCTCTCCCTTCCCACCAAGTAGAGTCCCTAGCACGATACCTTACAAAGAGCACAGGCTAAATGTCTGCAAATGACTCAATGAGTGAGTGAGTGAATGCAAGCTTGTATGGTTCTGGGGTTTTTTTTCCTGCTCTTACTGCAGACCCCAAAGGCTAATTATTTGCTACAAACTTTATGTTCACCTTTCAAACATATTAAGGTTGATATCCAAGTTTCAAGTAGTCATTCCATGATGATTCTTGCTAATGAACTTGATTTAAACTGATAGTAATCTAAAAAGTTTATGTACAGCTCTTTCAATATTGTCTACTTGGACAATATTAACCAAGGCATTTACCTCCTCTTTGAGAGTTAATCATTTCATTTATCATCATCTATAGCTGTCAGAACTTTGGCAGCCTTGGTGAAAAATACCATCAACTGCTCATATTAAAAATTAATCACACAAGATTTCCTTTGTTTCATTTTTTACTACTTAAACTCCCTACTGGACTTCCCTGGTGGTGCAGTGGTTAAGAATTCACCTGCCAATGCAGGGGACCCAGGTTCAAGCCCTGGTCCAGGAAGATCCCACATGCCGTGGAGCAACTAAGCCTGTGCGCCACAACTACTGAGCCTGCGCTCTAGAGCCCGCGATCCTGAAGCCCGGGCACGTAGAGCCGGTGCTCCGCAACAAAGAGAAGCCACCTCAATGGGAAGCCCGTGCACCACAAAGAAGAGTAGTCCCCGCTCGCTGCAACTAGAGAAGGCCTGCGTGTGGCAACGAAGACCCAACGCAGCCAAAAATAAATTAAAAGACCAGGTAGTGAGCTTCTAAAGGCTGCCTTATGAACATCAGATTAAAATCAATACTTAAAAAAAACAAACACACAACTCCCTACTGATACAGAAAATGTTCTGCTGGGTTTTGTTTGTTTATTTTTCATAGCATGGGGTCTTTTCCTCATGATGCAAAAACATACAGTTATTGCATTTGCTAGGGGAGAAAATGCCTGAACTTTAAAATTGTATAATGCAATACTAAACAGAAGTGGGGGAAATTCTGTTGGTCATTTTTGTCACAAGAATGGCAAATTACCATTCTCATTACCATACTTGGCAAATTACCAAGCTTTTGCAACTTCCTTTAAAAGGTTGGGGGCCAGTTTCAAAGATCTGGAACCAAGTTATCCAAGCAATTCTTCCTCTGTATCTGCTTATTAAGGAGATGGAATGTTCATTAAAGTCATCCAGGCAGGTGGTCCAGACACTCTGGATAGAGTGAACTCAAACTCAAGGACAATGTCATCTTCCCTTTCTTGAAAACCCTCCATGCTTCCTTCTTTTTTTTTTTTTTTTGCGGTACGCGGGCCTCTCACTGCTGTGGCCTCTCCCGTTGCGGAGCACAGTTGTGGCCTCTCCCGTTGTGGAGCCCAGGCTCCGGACGCGCAGGCTCAGCGGCCATGGCTCACGGGCCCAGCCGCTCCGCGGCATGTGGGATCTTCCCAGACCGGGGCACAAACCCGTGTCCCCTGCACCGGCAGGCGGACTCTCAACCACTGTGCCACCAGGGAAGCCCCTCGACTCTCTTTTTAAAATATAGCACATGTTGTCATTTCTCCCACGATAACTGGACAAAAGACAGATCTGATTTCCTTTGCCAGGCTTTCAATTTTTATTTTTACAAGAGCAGCAGAGACATAATGTGCTTTCTATCCCACCTTCATTGTTTTTATTTATTTATTTATTCATTCATTCATTTATTTTTATTGTATAGTTGATTTACAATGTTGTATTAGTTTCAGGTGTACAGCAAAGTGATTCAGATTTATATACATATATATATATTCTCTTACAGATTCTTTTCCCTTATAGGTTATTACAAAATATTTAGTTCCCTGTGCTATACGGTAAGTAGGTCCTTGTTGGTTATCCATTTTATACTGATATATAGTAGTATGTATATGTTAATCCCAAGGTCCTAGTTTATCCCTCTTTGCCCCTTCATCATTTTTTTAAAAAGCATTTAAAATTAATATTGCTCTTTTTGAAAAACCAATCTCTACCTCTCTTTTCCTAATTAGATCCAATAAAAATATAAGAGTAAGCATTCTTGGGAAAGCCATATTGAAAAACATCATCCAAGCCTTGAAAATCAAAATCAAGACCAAATCAATTACAGGACTTGATTCAAGTGAATTTTGTTTTTCCTCCCAAGTGATTGACAGAAAGTATGATGGGTTCAAAATATTCAAGTATTTCTGGAGTTTGTATACAGCCTCTAACCAAAATTAGTGTGTCTTCCAGCCATGCTTTGCAGATTAATAGTAGTATACTTTCACTAGCCGCTCTCTTCTGGGAGTACAGCTCCTCAAGGAGACAGTTTTCTAGCTGAGTGTAATGCGGTAAATTGAAGGAGGAAAGGATGTAACGTGGATTCTCTACTTATGCCGTCTGGTGTGGACAGTTGCAAGACGCTATGAAACTCTTTAGTTGTCTAATGTTTGGCCTTACCTGTCAGAGGGCAGAGGCCCTGGGAACAGATGCAAACTCCACACACACACACCCGCAAACTCTATTCCTTTCCCCTCCCTTCTTCATTCAACACACATTAGGCACCTCATGATGCTAAGGTAACCGCCCACCCTCAGAGGCCTTACCTGCCGGCTTTCTTGATCAGGATGGCCCTGAAGATGTGCTCGAGGGGCGTCTTCTCCCGCTCATGGGTTGGCTGCACGAAGGGGTGCAGGGCCACCAGCGAGAAGCCCTGCTGGTACGGCTCCAGCAGCTGGGCGGGCAGGTCACGGAGGGAGGTCAGCCTCACGGCCGAGGCCCGTGGGAGCTCGGCTGGGAGTGGAGAGAGGGGAGGCTCATCAGAGACCCACCCAGACTGGCTACCCCACACATCCACATCCCTCTCCCCTCAGCTCAGCAGAAAATCTCCAGGTCGCCTCTCAGTCACATGAGTCTGTTCCCATCTTAAGTACTGTCTTCAAGGGGACCTACAAAACTCCTGGTTAATTTCCAACTCATCCGTAAGTACTGGTGACTGGATGGCTTAAAATTAGAGCCAGGGCTTCCCTGGTGGTGCAGCGGTTGAAAGTCCGCCTGCCGATGCAGGGGACGCGGGTTCGTGCCCCGGTCCAGGAGGATCCCACATGCGGCAGAGCGGCTGGGCCCGTGAGCCATGGCCGCTGAGCCTGCGCATCCCGAGCCTGTGCTCCGCAACGGGAGAGGCCACAACAGCGAAAGGCCCGCGTACCGCAAAAAAAAAAAAAAAAAAAAAAAAAAATTAGAGCCAGTTTCTCAGAGATCACACTGGAAAAGTCACTTCCACCCCCTCAGAAAATAAAAGAGAAGGAAATGAAGAAAGAGGATCACAAGACGATGACAACTGCACACGAACGTAAAACTGCCGGGTGGCAAAAAGCAGCAGCAAAACAAAGTCCAAAGACAGACTGGAACAACATTTCTGTGCCACTTAAGACAAAAGGATAATTTTCTTAACAGGCAAAAAACAGAAACAAGAACAAAAGCAAGAAAAATGGGCAAAATATACAAACAGGCAATTTCCTGAAAAGCATAAAAGGGTAATCAATACTTGAAAGGACACTCAAATTAACTCAACACTAGAACTATGCAAAACAAAACAGTAAGTGTTTTCTCCCTATTGAATTATTTCAAAATTGGGTTTTAAAAAAACCTTTTTGAGAAGGGCAGACAAGATATCAGAAGTCAACAGATTCAAGTGACAAGTCTTCCAGCCCAATCCCCCGCCCCTCAGGCGCTTTCCCTAGAGGCAACCAGTATTATCCATTTTCTTTTGTATATATGTTAATAATCGCTGAATCTGTGCACAAATAAGTTTATATATCTATCTCACTTTTTTTACACAAATGGTAGGATAATGTTACAACCCAGCTTTTTATCCATTTTTATCAATTAACAGTATCCTTTTCTTGGAGATCATTCCATGGCAGTACACAGAGCTCTTCCTCATTCTTTTTATAGCTGCACAAGTGTTCCACTGTGTGAGGTACCACGGATTATTCAAACTTTTGCTTTCATAAGGAATACTGCAATGAAAAACATCACTCCTACATGATTTCACATGCATTCATGTACGGTATACCTAAAAAAGTTAATTCCTAGGTGTGGAATTGCTGGGCTCAAGATAAATGCATTGTAATTTTTTTAGAGACTGCCAAATCTCCTCCACAGTGCAGTAAGGGCTTATCTTTATCAGTGAGGTACAAAGGTTATTTCTTTTCCCACGCCCTGGCTAATCTCACAACGAAAAATATGATTCCTATGAGGTGGTAATTCGTATTTCTCATTATGTAATTTGTCCTTTTTCTTATTAAACATCTCATGTTTAAATGCTATTTATGTTGCCTTTTCTGTTAACTGTTCAAAATCTTTGCTTAGTTTTCTGCTCGGTTATTGGTCTTTTTTCTATTGATTTGTAGGAGCTCTTTATATATTAGGAAATTCATTTCTTATTTGTAATAACAGTTGCAAATATCTTTCCCAAATTATTGTCTTTTGACTTTGCATGACACGGGTTTTGCCATGAAGAATTTTTTTTAATAAAGTTGAATTTATCAATCTTGCCTTCAATGGCTTCTGAGTTTTATGTCATAGCAGAGAGACCTGGAATATAAAACGATTCTCTTGTGATTTCCTGTAGTAATATTTCAGTTTTTGCATGTAAATCTTTGCTCCATTTGGAATTTATGCAATATGAATTCAACCTTTCCCACCCACCCCCAGTTTATCCATTTTTCTGTATTGATTTGAGATGTCACCTTTATCATATATTATATTCTTAAGTATATTTAAGCCTATGACTATGATCTATCAAACTATTCTAACAATTTTAGTTTCATATTATGTTTTAAAATCCAGTCAGGTTATTTCCTGAATCTTCCTATCTTCCTGTTTATTTTCTGAATCTTCCTGTTTCTTCTCAATTATTTGTTTTTCTAAATGGTCTTTAAAATCAGGTCATCAAATTGTCCCTCAAAAAAAAAATCTTGTTGATACTTTTATCGGATCATGTTCAAATTACAGCTGAACTGAGAGAGAATGGATTTTTTTCTTTTTAACCATTTTTTAAATTGAAGTATAGTCAATTTACAATGTTGTGTTAATTTCTTCTGTACAGCAAAGTGATTCAGTTATACATATCTATATATGTCTGTTTTTCTTCAGATTCTTTTCCATCATAGGTTATTACAAGATATTGAATATAGTTCCCTGTGCTGTACAGTAGGTCCTTGTTGGTTATCTATTTTATATATAGTAGTGTGGATATGTTAATCCCAAACCCCTAATTTATTGCTCCCCCTCACACTATTTGATTATATTTTTAATCCACAGGAATTGGAAATTGAAGCCAAACAATATTTTACAGAAAGTTAACAACATCAACCTCCTGAGAATGGATATTTTCATCACGCTGCAAGTTTTCATCCAAGAACATTGCATGATTTTCGTTTATTCAAGACTCTTTAGGGGTCCCTTGGGTGCATATTAAAATTTTCTTCACATAGATACTGCACACTTGTGAAGTTTATTCCTAGTTATTTTATATTTTATTGCTATTTGAATTGTTATTTTTTCTCCTTTTACTTCGGTGATCTCCATCGTGGGCAAGAATGTTGGAGAAACAGTCATGCTCATGGCAGCTGATACTGGTGAACCTTTCTGGAGGGCCGTGTGGTATCTTCCCTCAATCCTAAAAGTGCATTTGCACTTTGTCCAGCAACCTCGCCACTGAGTTTTATGCCTGTGGCTGGACTCCTAAATGTTTCTCAAGATATATGGGCAAAGTTATTCACTACAGGGTCATCACAAAAGCAAAAATCTAGAACCAAGGAGTTCTTCTTTGGAGGGCTAGCTCAACACTGGGTCACCCCAATGATGAATCCTCTGAACCATTAATATGTATTACATGCGGATGAAAATGTGCCCAAGATCCATGTCTAAGTTAAGAAACAAGGTGTCTAACAGTGTTTATCGTAGGATACTTTAGTATAAAAAAATTAGAAGGATTTTTTTCTGGAAGAAATAACAAAAACATCAATATTGGAAGAGATTGGAGTAGGGAGGTGAGGATGAGAAGGCAGTTTTTACTTTATTTTGTACTTTCAATACTATTACCGTCAGTACAGCAATCATCTGGGTGGAGTGTTCATGAGACATTTTAATTTTCTTCTTTACATGTGAAAAATATTTTAAATTTTAATGTATTTTTAAAAATACTGTGTTACTTTAAAACAAACTTAAAATCTAGGGGTACTTAAGAATACTCAACGTCAGCCACTGTAGCCCTCACTTCCATACATCAGGCAAGAAATTTACAAGGAAGAAAAATCTACAGCAATGATTCATTCTGAAGCAAGTGTCCAGCATCCTGGAGAAATCGCCATGAATAACAGTGGCAAAGATAAGGCTGGCCAGGAAAGCTGGAAAGCATGCAATCTTTGCCTTGAAGGGTACGTTCTACATATGCCGCCGGATAGAAAAAAATCTTGAAGGCGTCTGGAAAGAACGCTGAGCCCGTCCACACTCCTAGGCACAGCAACCCGGTGGGCCAGAGGGGCAGCCTCTCCAAGCCTGCCCCACCGTCCAGCAACAGAGGCAACACCCAAAATCCTTGGAAATGGAGACCCTTGGGCGCCACCCCAGACCTACTGAATCGGAATCGGAGCCATTTATGTCTTCACAAGCCCTCAAGGAGATTAAGAGGCTGAGAACTACCTTCTAGAGGGTTTCCTCTAGAGGAGTGCCAAAGGGCAGGGAACCTTTGGATCTAAGGGCACACACCCACCTGTGACCTGCACCCCAACTCCAAACAGCCAGGACCCTGGCCGTACCTGCCGTGGCAGCCCCAGGCCCACTGCGGGGGTCTTGCACAGGCTTTTCCCCCAGTCTGTGTGCACCCCCAGGCCCAAGGCGGCACAGAGACTAGGGAGAGGCGAGTGGGGAGACACTGCTGCGGGGACAACATTTAAGGAGCACCAAAAACTCAGTAACCAGCACGAATCAACATTAAATGCAATATGTTAAAAAGTGAACATGAATGCCGAAAGTCCATAATGAACAGGCTATCAAAAATTTTACTAAGGACAGCATGCGTATTACTGATTTTCCTTTTGCCTCAAGCTCGGCACAGCCCTGTTACTGATCTCCTCTTTTTAAAAGACGTTGCCTCACTTGCCTTACCCCAGTGCCGGCCCAGCCCAACATCTCTTGCCCTCTTGTCCGGGGCCCTGCGAATGACAGGAGTGGGCCTGTATGTAGGCTGTTCCAGGGGAACCAGGGGCAGGTCTCCTGTGCTGTCAGGAGATGACGAAGCAACAGAAGTGTTTGTGTCACAGACACTGTTGTTTTATTTAAAAAACTGCATGAACTTTTGGTAGGAGCGTAAGCCCTTCTGGAGGGTAATTTTATAATATCCATCAGACCTAAAAATACCACGCAGCACAAAGATCCCCTCTTCTTTGAAAAAACTGTACATAAAGAGCATCTGTGAGTCATCAAATATGAGACCTCAAAGTCAGTCTCTGCAGGTCGGTATTTTGTAAATGTTTCTAGTATTTCAGACTCTTTCTGCTACAGTAAAATAAACCTGTGCCAAGATTTTGATAATTTGTATGTTTCTTTCCTCTTATGCATGATCCTATAATTTAAAAAATGAATAAAAGCAGTTGACATGTTTAGAAGACTTGGGACTCTAGGATCAGCTCTATGTTCCTCCATGGCATCGATCCTGGGCCTGTGAACGGTCAGTTTCCGCGTATAAAACAGAGATGACGACGTGGGCCTGTCTTCCATCAGAG